TCCCTCTCCTGCTTCCCCCCGGACTCAAAAGCCCCCCCGGCCGCCGCCCAGGGTGGGGTCCCGGTGCCGCCGCCGGAGACCCTTCTGGTGGCCACGGGTGACGCCAAAGCCGCTGCGGCGCCAGCCCTGCCCGAGGGGGCCCCCCCGGCGCCCGCGGGACCCCCGGGGCCGCCGTCGCCATCGCTGTTCATGGCGCGGCTGCCGCCCCGCGCCGGCTCCTACATCCAGAGCGAGCACAGCTACCAGGTGGGCTCGGCCCTGCTCTGGAAGCGCCGTGCCGAGACCGCGCTCGACGCCCTCGGCAAGGCCCAGAGGCAGCTGCAGGCGGGGAAGCGGCGGGAGCAGCGGCTCCGGCAGCGCCTGGCCGAGCTCCAGAAGGACACGCGGGGGGTCCTGGAGATCCAGGTGGACACACGGGGGATTCCAGAGCTCCAGAGGGACATGCAGGATATCCCGGAGATCCGGAGGGACACACGGGGCACACCAGAGCTTCAGAGGGACACACGGAATATCCCAGAGTTCCAGATGGACACACAGGGGGTCCCAGAGCTCCAGAGGGACACGGGGGATGTCCTGGAGCTCCAGAGGGACACATGGGGGGTCGTGGAGCCCCAGAGGAGCCCCAGGGACCCCCTGGCTGAGAGGGAGGTGAAGCCATTGGGGGGTGGGGGCAGGTGAGGCCTGGGCACCGGGGGGAGGCTGTAAATAAAGATTTCACCTTTTCCGCATGGAGTTTGCGGGGATTTCTGGGGATTTGTTGTGGATTTCTGGGGATTTGCACGGATTTACGGGAGTTTCTGGAAGTTTTCAGGAGTTTCTGGGAGGAATTTCGGGTGGAAAGTCTTCCTGGTGAAGGTGGTGAGTGGAATTCCTGGTGCCAGGAGGAGCTGGGACAGGGAAGGGCTTCCTGATGGGAATGGGGAGGTTTAGGTGGGATAGGGGGAAGAAATCCCACCCTGCGATGGCTGGGATGGAATTCCCAAGGAAGCTGCGGCTGCCCCATCCCTGGAAGTGTCCCAGGCCAGGTTGGATCAGCCTGGGATCATGGAAGGTGTCCCTGCCCATGGAATTGGGTGGAATGGGACGGGCTCTAAGGTCCCTTCCAACCCAAACCATTCCCTGGTTTCCAAGGTGTGAGAGGGGCCCTGCCCACCCCCCCGGGATGGTCTGGGGATGAATAACCGGTATTTGTTCCTGATTGATGAACTCAGGTGGTTCAAGGAGCCCGAGGTGGGGACAGGAGCAGGTTTGGTGGTTCCAGATCCAGGAAGATCTGGGACATCTCTGACCCTTCCAGGAGTGAAAACGAGGGGTGGACCAGCCCAGCACCCAAAAAAAGTGGGAATTAACGGTTTAATTTCCACGTCGTGGACACACTGGGCTGGGATAACCCCCCAAGCCAGCCCACAGTGCCTGATTAGCCCCTAATTAGCCTTGTTAATTAGCCCAAGGCTGCTACAGGCTGAGCCTCATGGCCTGGATGGCATCAAAGGTGGCCTGGGTCAGCGGGACATAGGATCGCTGGGAATTGTCACGGAAGAACAGCGGATCCTGGACCAGCTGGGGGTCGAAGCCCTCCCGGACCAGGTTGCTCTTGCACTGCTTGAAGGTGCCTGTGATCTCCAGGGCGTCCTGGGGATGAGGGACATCGGAAACGGGGGGGCCCAGGGCCGTGTCTGAGTGCTGGTGGGGGTTGATCCCACCCCTTGGCACAGGGTGACCCCCCGACTGGAACTGGATGAGCCTGAAGGTCCCTTCCAGCCCAAACCATTCCATGATTGGAACTGGAAGGCCCCTTCCAACCCCAACCATTCCCTGGTTCCACCGTGTCGTGACTGGGCGCTGGTGCTGATGGATCACTCTCCTCCCGTGGCCAAACCCCCCCCCCAAGTCCCAAACCCCCAGAGCCCCCCGTGCTGACCTGGACCCTGATGAAGCGGGGGGCAGCGTAGGTGGGCAGCGTGTCCTGCGTGAAGGCGAACAGGGTGTCCCCGTCAAAGGTGGCCCCGTCCTTGAGGCGCACAGCGGCCATGCCACAGCGGCCCTCGCACCCTGCGGATGGCACCGGAGGCCACCTGAGTCACCTGGGGCCACCAGGGGCCATCTGGGTCATCTAGGGCCACCATGGTCACCTGGGGCAACCACGTCCTTCAAATTGGGCCACCAAGCCCCGTTTTACCACTCCTGGAGGATCCTTGGGGGGGTTGTTTTGCACCCCGAAACAACCCTGGACGCCCAAATTGGGCCACCAGGCCCCGTTTCATCCTCCCCAGTGTCCTCCCTGACCTGCCCGGTCAGCTGCGGGCCGGACTCACCAGGCACAGCCACGCCGTAGACGTTGACCTCCTGGATGAACCCCACTGCGGCCAGCGTGGCCTCCACCTCCGTTGTGGCCACGTTCTCCCCTTTCCACCTGGAGAGCAGGAGGAGGAGGAGGAGGAAGGGGCAGCTCTATGAGCCGGGCGCTCGGGGCCCGGTGCCCACTGCCGGCGATGCACGGGCCGGAATTACCGGAAGGTGTCCCCGACGCGGTCCTGGAAGTAGAGGAAGCGCTGGCGGTCCATCATCAGGAGGTCGCCGCTGTTGAAGAAGGCGTCGCCCTTGGCCAGGACGTCCCGCAGGACCTTTTTCTCCGTCTTGGCGGCGTCGCCGGCGTAGCCGTGGAACGGCGTGTTCTGCGTGATCTTCACCACCAGTAGCCCCGTCTCACCTGGGAGGGAACCAGGGGGAATTTAGTCTGCCTGAAGGGTGTTTTGGTGGCCACAAGAAGGTGGTTTTGGTGCCCCCCCCCCCCTCCAAGGCCCGACTCTTACCGGGCCCGACAGGGATGCAGAGCCCGCGCTCGTCCCGCACGGGCTCGTCCGCGGCCACATCATACTTGATCAGCTCGAAGGGCGCGAAGGGCTGGGGGGTACGGGGAGGTAAACCTGGGATTAAAACCTGGGCCAGGGGTGGGAGGGTCCAGGTCGGGCCTGCTGGGATTGGACCTTTCCCCTCTCGTCCCCCCCCAATCCCAATGTCCTGTGGGTTAAAAACCGCTTGAGTTCGATCGGCCCACATCAGAAATGTCTAAGTCTGAATCTTTGAGTTTGTCTAAGCCTTTGACTCAGTTTAATTCTTTGAGTCAATCTCTTTGAGTCAGTCCAAGTCTTTGAGTCAGTCTAAATCTTTCAGTCAGTGTAAATCTTTCAGTCAGTCAAAGTCTTCGAGTCTAGAAGTCCGAATCTTTGTCTAAGTCTGTAAGTCTAAATCTTTAAAACCTTCAAGTCCAGCTCTTCAAGTCTAAACCTGTAATTCCAAATCTTTAGGTCTAAATTTAGCTTTAGATTTTTCAATCTAAACCTTAAGTCTAAATCTTATTTAAATCTGTTTAAATAAGCCCTATACATCTCCAATTTACCCCAAACATCCCCAAGTGACCCCAAACCTCTCCGACTGACCCCAAACACCCCAAATGACCCCAAAAACCCCCAGCCGACCCCAAAACCGTGCGTTCTCACCTTGAGGAAAACGTTGGACCTGCCCACGGCCCCAACCTTGCCGGTGTAGTTGATGAAGCCAGCGTTGCCCTCAGTGGCCCCATAGAATTCCCAGATGGCCACAGGCCCGAAGCGCCGCAGGAATTCCTTCCATACCTCTGCCTTCATTCCATTGCCCAGGGCCAGGCGCACCCCGTGCTCCCGGTCATCGGGGCGCTGGCAAGGACGGGAGGGTTGGGATGGGTTTGAGGTGGTTTGAGTGGGTTTGGGGAGGTTTGGGGTGGTTTGGGGTGGGTTTGGGGTGAGTTTTGGGGTAGTTTTTGGGTCATTTTTTGAGGCAGTTTTGGGGTGGATCTGGGGTCGGTTTTGGGGCAGTTTTGCAGGTAGTTTTGGGGGCAGTTTGGGGGCAGTTTTGCAGGTAGTTTTGGGGGCAGTTGTGGGGGCAGTTTTTGGGGCTCACCGGGGGTGTGTTGCACAGGTAGCGCATGAGCTCCCCCACGTACTGGATGACGGTGATGTTGTACTTCCGACAGTCAGCCCAGAACTGTGAGGCAGAGAACTTGCTCCTCAGGACACACGTGGCTCCTGGGAGGGCACAGCCGGGGAGGAGGTGAGCCTGGCCCTCCTTGCTTTTCCCTTCATCCACCTGCCCATCCTTCTGTCCATCTCTCCATCCATCCATCCATCCATCCATCCATCCATCCATCCATCCATCCATCCTTCCACCCCTCCCTCCCTTTATCTCTCCACCGATCTCCCATCCATCCTTCCCTCCACCCATCTTTCCATCCCTCATCCATCCACCATCCCTCCCTCTATCCCCCCCCTCCCTCTCTTCCCCCTCTCTCCCTCCCCTCCCTGGTCCTGCGGGGCTGGGCTCTCCCGCACCGACATCGAGGCAGCCTCCAATGCCCACGAGCAGCCCGGCCGAGTGGTAGAGGGGCAGCGTCGTGTACACGATGTCGTCACGGCGCAGCCCACACAGGCGGGCCAGGCTGGCGGCCATCATCAGCTTCAGCTCTGTCACCACTGCAGCCTTGGGCAGCCCTGGGGACCCAAAAATCCCAGATTAATCCCAAATACCATCAACTGAGCCCAAATATCCTTAACTGACCCCAAACGCATCCAACTGACTCCAAACATCCCAAAGGGATGTTCCTGCCCCAGGTGGACCCACCACACTCGTGACTGGAGAAAGACCCCACAAGAGACCCCTTCAACCTTCCCAGACCCCGCTCCCCCGTGTCCCCCCAGCTCCGTCTCCCGGCAGTTCCCAGCAGTTCCCAGCTCCCTCTCACCGGTGGTGCCGGAGGTGTAGATGTACATGGCCTTGGAGGTGGCGGTGGTGCCGGCGCGGTACTGGGCGGGCACAGGGTCTGCGGGGGCTGCCTCGATGTCGGGGAGCAGGGCCGGGACCCCCGAGGTGGGCGAGCTGGGGCTCAGGTAGAACACACGGACCCCGGAACTGTGCAGGCCTGGGAGAACCTCCTCCACAGCCCCTTGGAGCTCTGGGGGGACATGGGGGGTCATGGGGGGGCAGGGTCTGGGGGGACAGGACGGAATAGGGTAGGGGAAAGTAGGAATCCCAAATGGGCAGTAAAGGGACCTCCAAATGGGCACCTGAAGGACCCCCAAATGGGCAATGAAGGGACTCCAAATGGGGACCTGAGGGACCCCAAAATGGGCACACAGACAAACCCATGCACAGACACTGACACACATGTGGACACATGTGCAGACTCTGACATATGTGGACACCGGGGCTGGGGAGGATGGCTGAGATCAGGGCTGGCGAGGACCAGAGTGACCTTGGTGGCCACATCCCCCCGTGTCCCTGTAGACCCCGAATGTCCACTCCATCCCCTCTCACCAGGGCTGGCAAGGATGACTGAGACCTTGGTGACCATATCCCTGTGTCCCCCCAGGCCCCCTGACCACCAGGGCTGGCAAGGACCAGGATAACCTTGGGGACCACATCCTCCCATGTCCCCGCAGCCCCCCCAACGCCCCCTCCACCCCTTCTCACCGTGGCTGGTGAGCAGCAGGGTGGCCCCGGCAGCCTCCAACGCATGCCGCAGCGCCTGTCCCCGCGCGTTGGTGTTCACGCAGGCCATGACACAGCCCAGCTTGGCCAGCGCCAGCCACGTCCACACGTAGGTGGGCGAGTTGGGCAGGAACACGGCCACCGTGACGCCGGGGCTGAGCCGCAGGTGCCGCTGCAACACCCAGGCCGCCCGGTTGCTCCTGAGATCTACGTCCTCGTAGGTGTAAAGCTCGTCCTGGAAGCGGAGCAGGGGCTGCTGCGGCCGCCGCCGCGCGTGGAGCAGGAACACGTCCAGGAGGGTCTCGGGGGGGCGGCGGGCGAAGCGACGACGGCAGCGCAGCGCCGACCTGGCCATGCTGACAAAGGCCATCAGGTCGTCCCAGAGGAACGGGGGGGCGAGCAGCAGGGCCAGCAGGGCCAGCCCGGCCAGCGCGGCCGTCAGCAGCCCCAGCAGCACGGCCATGGCCACTGAGGGGTGGCCAGAGGTGGCCAAAGGTCCGCGGGGCCGGGCCGGGCGCACCTTTGGCCCCGGCGGGGCCGGGAGTTCGTTGCTCCCTCGGGATTTGTTTGCTTTGCTTTGCTTTGCGCTGCCTCCTTCCTCTTTTGTGCCGGGGCTTGTTTTTTTTTTTTTTTTTTTTATCCCTCTCTCTCCCTCTCAGTTTTCGCGCTCCCGGCCCCGGGGTGTGGCTCCGCTACCTGGGGCCCCGGGAGTCGGTCCCTCTGTCCCCTCTGTCTCCATAACTGTCCCTCTGCCCCCTCTGTCCTCCCCTGTCCCTTTGTCCAGCCTCTGTCCCTCTGTCTGTCTCTCAGTCGGTCCGTCCTGACCACTCGGGTCTCTCTGCTCAGGGTTCGGGCAGTCACAGGTGGGACGTCACACACTGTCCGCAAAGTGTCTGTAGGGTCACACGGGGTCCCCCGGGGGATGTCACACGTGGGGTGTCACACACAGACCCCAGAGTAGGGTCACGCGAGGTCCCTTTTGAGGCGTCACACCCCGACCGCAAAAGAGGGAAGAAGAGCAGTCACACCCACGCGCGTAAAGCACTGGGGGGGCACGGGGTCCCCAGGTGAGTGTCCCCTGAGCTTCCCAAACGCCACAAGAAGCCGAGCCCCCCTCTTGCCCCCCGCCTCTGCAATGGGACACGGCGGGGGAAGTCTAAAAGGAGAACGAGGTCCCACCGAGATTCGAACTCGGATCGCTGGATTCAGAGTCCAGAGTGCTCACCATTACACCATGGGACCGCCTCGCGCCGCCCCCGCCGCCCGTCCCAGACCCCTCCGCGCCGTTCCCTCCTCCACGAAAAAGAGACCCCGCGACTCTCCCTCCGGGGCAGGACCGGCGGAAAACAGGGAAAGGACCCCCGGGATGCCCGACGGGCAGGAAAAACAGAAGCGCCCGAACAGGGACTTGAACCCTGGACCCTCAGATTAAAAGTCTGATGCTCTACCGACTGAGCTATCCGGGCTCCTGTCTGCTGCTGACGCCGGGGGCAATTTGAGCTGAAATCTCGAGGATTTGGGAAAAATCACGAGACTTTGGGAGAAATCCCCGTGTTTTGGGCAGAAATCATTCCCAGGGGAATGACTCCTCTGGGATTGTGCCGGGGGAGGGATTTCGGGACGTGTTGCAAAATACAATTATTATTATAATGAATAATAATGTTAAATAATGTATAGTCATTTTATCATAGTCATATATGTGATTATATTCGATATTATATATAATTTATAGTATAATATAGAATACATAATATGTATTATAATATATCAAATATAACCCAAATGTATATTATATGTATTAATTGTATTTATGATAATAAAATACCCTTATATATTTAATATATATTAGGTGTTATATATAATTTATAATTTAATATATACTCTAATACAATATATACTCTAACACAATACATAACGTAATATATCAAATATAACCCTAAACTATTATAGAATTCCCATTTCCCTTTTTCCACGTCCAACCTCTTTGGAAAATGCAAATCAGGACTTTCAGGGGCCATAAAAATATAAAATCTGGGGACAAAGTTCTTCGCAACCCGACGCCAGAGGAACCTTCAGATCCTTCCTGCTCTGGTAAGAAATTCCCGGTAGGAAAAATCCATGAATTCACTTCTAGAACTCGATTTATCTGGAACAAGTTGATTTTTTAATGGGAATAAATTGATTTTTTAAACTGGAATAAATGAATTTAACTGGAATAAATGATTTAACTGGAATAAATTCATTTTTTGAATGGTCAGGAATGAAGGTGAGGCCATAACTCCCACTTTCCAATGGGAATTGCAGTCCCTGGCACCTCCTGATTTTATCAGGGACTGGAAATGTGGGAAAAAGCACAAGAATTCCCAGGAAATCAGGTTGAAATCAGGATTAAATCCCAATTTAAACCCAGATCACTCCTTGTTTATCTTCCCTGGGAATGTGGATTGGTGGGAAAAGTCCTTGGAAAGAGACCCATCCATGAAATCCTGGAATTCCCTTCAATACCCCTTCACGTATTTAAATTCCACGGGGAATCAGGGAAGAAAAACACCCGGAACCTTCTTTTCCTTGAGAACCTCAATCCATCCATCCATAAATTCCCAGATATTTTCCCCTGTTATTTCATCCCTTGATTCTCTTGTTCTTTCCCGTGGAATGTGCAAAGGGGCCAAAGGAATTCTGGGAGATTCTGGGACATCGATGGATTCCCGGGTCTGGTGGTTGATGTTGCTCCCAATCCTGACATTCCAATGTGGATCCCACCTGGCCGCAGGTGAAGATAATTCCATTTGGGATACATTTGGGATGTATTTGGGACGTATTTCCCTAAAACACCTGATTTTTGCTGAAATTCCCTCAAAAACCTCGGAAAAACTTCTTTATCCAGAGGCTGCTCAGGGCTGGAGCCCAGGGAATCAGTTTTCCCCCCCATTTTCCCATGATTTTTCCAACCAGGATGCCCAAAGGTTCAAAACACCGAAGGATGAATCCAGGGATCTCAAATCCCACAAGCATTCCATGCTGTTTTCCCTGGATTTCCTTTGGATTCCTCTCCCGCTGACCTGGTTCTCTTGGTTGCTCGATGTAATTCTATGGAAACCTGACGTGGATAACCGGGAATAAATACCTATTTTGTCCCTAAACAGGTTGGTGGGTGAGTTCTCCCGGGATTCCCATCGTCGGGATTGTCGGGGAGCGGGTCGTGCTGCCCTGCCAGCTGAGCCAGGACCCCATTCCCGAGGTTTTCTCCGTCCGCTGGATATTCCACGATGATTCCCGAAGGATCCTCGTGGGCAGTTTCGATGGGAAGAGCCTGGAGGAGGGGGACGGGAGGTTCCAGGGCCGGGTGGAATTTTTCCCCTGGGAATTCCGGGCCGGGAATGTGTCCCTGGGACTGAGGAATGTCAGGATCTCCGACCAAGGGTCCTACACGTGCCACGTGTCATTCCAGGACATGTCCCAGGAGGTGTCGGTGGAGCTGGAAGTGGCAGGTGGGAATTCTGGGATCCTTCCAGCCCTTTTTTTAAAAAAAAAGACCCATAATTTTTATGGGGTTTTTTTTGGTGCATTTTTAGGTATTTTAAATAATTTTTTATACTTTATATTTTTATGCTCTGTGTTTTTTGTATTTCATATATTTTCCACAGCCATCGGCGACATTCCCACCATTGTCCTGAACTCCCGGAAAAGCGACTTCGGTCTCTCCTGCCGAACCTCGGGCTGGTTCCCAAATCCCGAAATTCTTTGGCTGGACAGCCAAGGAAAGATCCGGAAGGAATCTTCCAGCCCCAGGATGACGCTGGAGCCATTGGGACTGTTCCGCATCGACGCTTCTATGACCCTCCCGCCCGGATCCGACCTGGAGGTTTCCTGCAGGATCGTTAACCCCCGGCTCAATGTCACCAGGGAATCCCGGATCCGCATTTCAGGTGGGTCTGGAATCACCCCCAGGATCGGCTCCATTCCCAGATCCGTGCTGGGAGAAATGCTCTGATCCTCTTCTGCCTCATTCCTGGTTGGTTTGGTGTTCCAGGAAGTCCGTAAAAATTGAGGATTGAGGCTTTTCCTGGTCCTTTCTCCAAGATGTTGGAGTTGAATTAAAGTAGGGATTGGGAATGCGTTGGATACATCGGTTTTCCCTCTTAAAAAGCGGGATCGAGGCTCGTCCTTTCCCTCCTCCAAATTCCAGCAGCCATCTCCTTAATTATTAACAGACTTTTAAAATCATTAACATAAAATAATTAATGGAATGTTGCTCCTTTTTCCCACCTTTTCACAGATATTTTCCTCCCCTCCATCTCCTCCTGGTTGAGCCTTTTCCTGGCACTTTTGGGCCTCAACCTGCTCCTGATTTCCGCTGTGTTTTGCCTCCTGAGGAGTAAGTGCTGGGAAAAATCCCCCGGAATAAACAAAAATTCCCAAGGGAAATCTGGGTAAAATAAAAAAACCACCAATAAATCAAATTAAGAAATGAACAGAGTGACCAAATTCCAGAATTGGAGTCTGAAAAAGGTGAGGAATTCCTGACTCTGTTTCACAGAATTCCTTGGGAAGTCAATCCGAGGGTGTTCTTGGCAGGATTAAATCCTGGATGACGATTTGGAGCTCATTTTAGTGCAAAAAAACATGGGATAAAAGGACTTTTTTCCTGCTTTCTTTAACCAGGGAGCCGCAAGGAAAATGCCAGTGCAGGTGAGTGATGAGGAGTTAAGGTTAATTATTTATATTAATTATATTATTTATATTTAATAAAACTATTTTGATTCTATTTATAGATTGATATTACCCATATTTAAATTATTTAATTTTATTTCTATTAAATCCTGGAGTAGTTGCATCCAAAGGTTTTGAGGCCTTAATTTAATTTAATTTAATTTAATTTAATTTAATTTTTGTTTTATTTTTATGTTTTTTAATATTATTTTAAAGTTAAATTCAACTAAAATAAAAGAAATTAAAATTAAATTAATCTGAAACATGAAATTAAATTAAATTAAAGGAAGTTAAACAAAGTTGAGTTTAATTTAATTCAAATCAATTAAATTTTAATTAAATCAGAAGTCTAAGCTCATTTTGCAAATCTCACCGTGGCAGGAGAAGGAAAAATTCCATGAAAAGATTCCCATTTCAATGAATTTCCCTTGTTTTTCAGTGAAAGTGAAGCTGGAAAGGGAAGAAGGTAAAAAATCCTCCAGGAAACGGGAAACATTTGATGTCAAATATTAGGGAAGTTCCCAAACTGGGATTTTTGGGAACCAAAATTCCCTGTCCTCTCTTTTCCAGAAAAAAAGAAGGTGAAGTCAGTGTTGGGTAAGAGATTCCCCTTCCCCTTCCGTTTTCCCTTCCCTTTCCCTTCCCTTTTCTCTTCCTTTTTCCCTTTTCCCCCCTTTTCCCTCTATCTCTGGGAGGCACCTCCAGAACAACATTAACAATAAATAATAATAATTATTAACAATATCTATTATTAAATATTAACATTATTCCAAATTATTCCCTTGATTCCATGTCCGGAATCTCCAGATGGAGAGAAAGCCAAGAAACGAGCAGGTAAATCCCATTCCCATGAAACATTCCCTGGGGAAAACAATCCTTGGTTTAATCAACTTCCTCAATTGAAAGTGATTAATTAATCCCCGGGGGTGATCCAGCCACAGCTTTCCCCTTCCTCTTCCTTAGGATTTCATGGAATCACTTAGGCTGGAAAATACCCCTGAAATCCCGGGATCCAAGCCCAAATCTTCCACCATCCAAATCCTTTCCCATGGATATTTTCCTTGTTTTCCCTGGAATTTCCCCCTCCCTCAATTTCTGCCCTTTTCTTTTTCCAGCCAAGATCCACTTCAAGAAACGCTTTGGTAAGGGACCGTGTTTGCATAAATTTGCATAAATTTGCAATTTTTTTTGTCTCTACGTCATTGTTAGAAACAATAGGATGAGAATTCATGAATATATCCATGTTATTCCTGGATTCAAAGTTAATGAATGCAGTGAATTATCAATTTATGGGGAGGAATGTCATTGTTTTTCACTCCTGGGAGCTGTTCCCAGTGGGACAACTGGGAAAGAATGGAAATAATGGGAAAAAATGGGAAAAAAGGGACTCTTGGGTGTTGTTCAAGTTGGGGAAAAAAATGGAAAAAATGGGGAAAACTGGGGGAAAATTGGGAAAATAGGGGAAAAATAGGAAATCCAAACCAAAACAGCTGGAATATCTTTTCCTTGCAGATCGACTGAAAACAGAGCTGGGTGAGTAAGAACCAAGGAATTGTGGAAATTCCTGGGATTTGGGTGTTAAATGGGATTTTTGGGAGATCCAGAGGGTTTTCCTGGTCCTGGGAGGATCAAATGCCACCAAAAAACATGGATTGCAGCAATGTCTGTTGTTTTTCCATAGATTTCTGGGAAGCCCGGAGCCACGCAGGTGAGCTGGAAAAACGGGAATGTGCCTTGGATAATGGGAATGGAGAAGGGATGAGGATGGTGGGAATGGTGGGGAAAGGGAGTCCTGGAAGGTGTCCAAGGCCAGAGTGGGATCGGGACGCAATTCCCAAGAGGATAGATGGGAAGTGGGAGAGGCGTTTGTGTCCTGGGAAATCCCAGGATGGGAGAGATCCAGTGGGGCCTTGGGTCCTTTCCAACCTCAGCCATTTGGGAATCCAGGGATTTGGGGATCCGTGAATTCTGGGATTCGGGAATTCAGGGATTTGAGGATTCTGAGATTTGGGGATTCAGAGGTTCAAGGATTTGTGGTTTCTGGGAATCTGGGATTTGGGGATTCAGGGATTCAGAGACTTGAGAATTCAGGGATTCATGGATTCTGTGGCTCCTCCTCCTCCTGTCCCGCAGTTCCCGTGGCCTGGAATGCCCTGGAGCGGATCCTGGAGCTCCCAAGCGGGGAGAGCGGAGTGTCTGCACCCACATTCCCGGTGCATGTGGGCCAGGAAGGCTTTAGAAGTGGGAAGTGCTACTGGGAGCTGGAGCTGGGCGAGGAGCAGGACTGGGTCCTGGGAGTGCTGTGGGAAAACGCGGGATGCGGGGCCAGGCCCATTCCCGGGCGGGATTCCTGGGCTCTGCGTAGATCCCAGGGAGAGCTCTTCTCCAGCAGCGGACCCCGCGGGCTCGGGAAGCTCCGTGGGAATGGCTCCACCCTTGGTGTCTTCCTGGACCTCGATTGGGAGCGCCTGGAATTCTACAACGTGGAGACCACAGAGCTCCTGGAGAGGCTGGATCTGAGCACTGGGGGGGATCCACAGGGAATGTTCTTCCCATTTGTGTCCCAGGGAGAAGGGATCAGGATCCGCCCGGTGCCAATCCCGCTCCCGCTGAAGGGACTTTGAGTGGGGATTGGGGACAGGGTGGGGAAGTGGGGAGAAAATAATGGAAAAGGGAATGGGAAGGAACGGGAGGGTTAAATAAATAAGTTCATGATATCACAAACTTTTTACAAGTTTATTAATTAATGCTAATTAATAACCCATTAATCACCCCCCTGGCCCCATCAAACAGGGTCATGTGACTCAACCTCCCACAGAGCGAATTCCCAACCCTTTCTCATTGGAGCCAGGGCTGAAAAATGGGAAGAGGTTTCCAGAAAACCTCAAGGGAAGCGATGCAAGGAGGCTTTTCCCTTCCACGTCGAAGAAGGAAAGGTTGTGGGATTCCTGATCCAGAAAAACCCCGAGCACCGGGCAGGGCCTGCAATTGCAGCCCCTGGGAATGCTGAATTCCCCTCGGGAATAGCCAAGGCTGAGCACCTGCTCCCGCTCCTGCGGCAGCACCATCCCGCCGTTCTGCAGGGAATCCCGGATCTCCTCGGCCAGCACGCCCAGCTCCCAGCCGGATCCGGCCCCGACCTCCACTTCCCAGTAGTGCTTCCCTTGGGAAAAGGATTCCTTGGACACGATGACGGGTTTGGGGTGGAGCTGCTCGGAGGTGGCAGAGCAGGAAACGACCCGGGATTGATCCCGGAGGGAGAGTTCGGGATGTTTGCAGAGCTCGTCCAGGGTCAGCGGGACTGGGAAAGGGGGGAAAGCCGAGGATTTACGGGGAATTAGGGAAAAGTAATTATGGGAAGCAATGGGAAATAAATGGGAGAAAATGGGAGAAATTATATAAAAGGATATAAAATTATATAAAATTTGGGGGGTTGTGTATAATTTAATGTGACAATGGAGGAGGAGAAAGAGAGGAAGAGGAGAAGAGGAAAAGAGGGGAAGAAGAGAAGAGGAAGAGGAAGGAAGATGGAAGAGGGAAGAGGAAGAGGAAGGCCCCAACTCACCTGCATTGCTTTGAGCACGTCTGAACTCTGCAGGGAAACGAGCGATTAATCAATGCTAATTAATTAATTACTGTGACAGCAGCTCATTTGCATGATTTTTCCATAACTGGGGGCAGGGTTAGGGGATTTGGAGTTGGGCCCAACTCACCCAGCTGGGCCTGGATTTGTTCTGGAAGGAGAGAAATTTCGTCACTGTCCTGCTGGGAAAGGGGCATCTGGGCCAGGTGAGGTACCTGTGTCACCTGTCCCAGGTGTGTCACCTGCCCCAGCCCTCAAAGTAGCTCCATTTTTCCCCCCAAAGTGTTTTGTTGTTTTTTTTTTTTTTTTCCCTGAGCCCCAAAACCCCAAAATTCCCGAAATTCCCCAAGCTGTGGAATTTTCTCACCGATTTTCGACTCCATCTCCTGGTTTTCTATGGGGAAAGAAAGGGAAATCGGGATTTGGGAACAGGAAAGAGGGGGAATTCCAGGAATTAGGGGATGGAAAGGATTTTTTACCCTTCTGGAATTTTTCCTGCACTTCCTCTGGAAAACAAAGGGAGAAAATGAGGAAAAAGGAGGAAAATTCAGGAACCACCCCCAGGTCTAAGAAATCATTAGAATGCCTCCAATAAATAGTCTCAGCCTAACAAACACTTAGGCTGAGTCTAACAAACCCTTAGTCCCGAGCTCAGCCCTTACCCAGCTCCATCTTGAGGTCCTCGATGTCTGAAAGGGTTGAAATATTAAAAATTAAATTTTTTCCCCTTTCCCCCCCCCAAAATACACTGAATTTCCCCCATTTTCCCAACACTTCCACAGGTTTTTTTTTTTAACAGAGTTGATTTTCCAGGTCCAAGTAATGTGGGTTTTTTTAATTAGTTAAAAAAATTTAAAGAGAGAAATTGTTGAGAAAAAAAATAACTTTTTTTCCACTCACCCTCCTGAATTTGCTTCTGGGCATTTTCTGGGAAAAGAGGAAAATTTTAGAGCACAAAAAAATTAATTTTACAAATTAATTTAATTTAACTATAAATTTAATTAATTAATTTAAAATTTCCCAGCATTTGGGTTTTCCTTGGGTTTTTTTTTAGGGATTTTTGGGAGAAACTGCCACAAAGGTAGGTCAGAAAATCCCAGTTTTGTGGAGTCTTTGTTGCAAAACATCCTGAAAAATGGGATTATTTCCCCCCGTGGTTGATCCCAATGGCAAAAAAAATTCCCATTTTCCTGACACTCACGATGGAACTGAGCGTTAACCTGAGGTTTAATTAAGTTAATTAATTAAAGGAATGGTTTCACTCACTTTCCCGATCCATTGCCTTTTTGTTGACTGTGGGAAAACGGGGAAAGGCAAATGTTGGTTAATTTAGGATTTTTTCCAAGGAAGGTTTTCCTGGGAAGGGGGGAAAAAGGAGGGGAAAAGGGGGAAAAAAGAGGAAAATGGGGAAAAATGAGGAAAAAAGGGGGGGAAGGTAAAGAAAGGAAAAAAAGGGAAGGGGGAAAAGGGGGGGAAAAGGGGGAAAAGGAGGGAAAAGAAGGGAAAGGGAAAGTTTGGGAAGGGAAGGGAATTAAGGAACTTACTCCGGAGTTTATAAACAGCTGCCAGGACCAGGAATATTCCAAAGAGCAGGATCATCACAAAAGCTGGGAGCCAGGGGGAAATGGCTGGGAAGAAACTCTCTGGAAAACAATCCAGGGATATTCCCTTGGAATATCACCTTGACCATGGAAGAGCAGAATGGTTGGGCTGGGAGGGACCTTCTTCTAAACCCCCTTCCCTAAAATCGGGAATTCCATCCCCAGTCTCTCCCTCAAAGCACCACCAACCTTGGAATGATTTGGGAAGCTTCCCCCAGCTGGAAATGCAGGAAATTCCACTATAAAACTGGAAATTGATTGATTATCCCACTGAAAACTGGGATTCCCAGGAAAAATGGCAGCAGATCCCTGTTTTCTCCCCTCACCCGCAATGACGATGGAGGATTCTGTGGATGTTTTTCCGAGGCTGTCGATGATCCTGCAGGACACGGCGTTCCCAGATCCCGGTGTGAGGACGATGGAGCTCCCAGCATTCCCGGCTGTGTCCGTGCTCAGGGGATTCCCAGTGATATTCCTGCCTTTCCCATCCATCCACAACACCTGGACTTCAGAGAAGAGCCGCTCCGAGAGGCACTTGAGGCGGATTCCAGAATCTTCCAACCCGTCCAGGACGAGCAGCGGGCCATGGAAGCTCCCTATGGATGAGCAGGACACAGGAGCTCCAGAAGAATATCCCAATTTCCCTCCCTGTCCAAGGCATCTGGAATTATTGGGATAATTCCTGCCAGGTTGGAATAAAATAAAATGAGTCAAGGAATTCCTTGGGAGCCAAAAATTCCCTCCCCCCTAAAAAAAAAAATCCCAAATTAACTTCCCTGAGTTCCCCCAATGGAGTAATTTGGAAGCTCGAATCCCAAAGAATTCCAGAAGCTCTCTGGGGATCCTCAGGGTCTTTTCCAAGCTCAAGAAATCCATGAAATCCCATAAAATTACCCATTGTGGGGTGGAGTCTGGATAGTAATGGGATGAAGGCGAGGATCCAGATCCGGGGCCCCATTTCTGCAGGGGAAGGAAAAATCCCAGGTGGGAATGGGAAATCCATGGGATTGGGTCCAGCTCCTGAGCTCTGGAGCAGCTGCATCTGCTACAACAAATTTTTTCCCGGTTTTTGGAAGTTGTTCCGTGGGTTCCTTTCCCGGATTTATGAGAAAGGGGAAAAAGAGAAAACAGGGAAAATTCCCAGGAATTCCCTTTTTCCAGGGTGTCCTTTTCCTCAGTAGCAACTCCCAGGAAAACGAACCCGTTCTGGAAACTTTGGTGTTGTTTTATCCGCAGTATTTTGGGGATGTTTTTATCCCCATTTCGGCCCCTTTTCAGCCCCTACCCCCCATGACGTCACGGTGTCAAAATTCCTTTCGGTTTCCCGAGGGGATAACAGAGAATTCCCAAATATTTCAGGACAAATCCCGAAAAGTTGGAAAACCGACTTGAAGGAAGGAAAAGGGACGGGAAATCCCGCGGGAAAAGGAGGGAGAAGAAAAACTTGGGAGCTCCGCCTATAAACAAACAGAAAACTGGAATTTATGGGAAATATAAAACCGAAATGGGATAAAATTCCCTGAAAAAAAGGAGGGAAATCGCGTGGAAAAAGGGAAAACCAACCTGGTTTTCCAAGAGCCCGCTGGGTCTCCCGAAAATCTCGGGATTGAAAGCGGCCGGAGGCTCCGGAGGCTCCCAGGACCTTTGGAGCCAAAAAGGGCGGAAATTCCAGCAGTGAAATGATTGCCGGTTTTCCAAAGGTCACCAGGGAGGAGGGTGGAAGGGAACAGAAGTGGGAACGGGGCGGGAATTTGTGGGATTTGGGGCGAAATCCTCCGGGATGAGGAAAAAGAAGAGTAAAGGGGCCTTCGGAGGATGGGAGTTTTCTGGGATTCATACCAGTACGACCCAGTTCACACCAGAGTAGCCCATTCCCCTCTCAGTCCCTCCCAGTGCCCTCCCAGTATGTCCCAGTGCCATCCCAGTGGCCCCAGTCCCCTCCAATCCCTCCCAGTCCCGCCCCAGGGCTCTCCTCCGGAAGTGACGTCAGCGCGCGCGAGCGCGGCCGGAAGCGGCTGCGGGTGTTGCGGCGGCGCCGGGTGAGAAACTGGAAGAGACTGGGAGGGACTGGGAGGACTGGGATGGGATTGGGGGGGACAGGGAGAGACTGGGAGGGGATCGGAGGGGACAGGGAGAGACTGGAGGGGAACTGGGAGGGACTGGGATGAAACTTGGATGGACTAGGGGGGACTGGGATGGGATTTGGGGGGGCTGGGAGGGACTGGGAGGAGATTAGAGGGACTAGGAGGGGCTGGAGGAGATTGGGGGGACTGGGAGGGACTGGGATGGACTGGGACACGCGGGAAGGGGACTGGGACATACTGGGAGGAGCCTCAGGTCAGAGGGTCCCCAAACCCAGCTTGGGAGGAACCCAAGCCCAGCATAGAGGGTGCTCAAGGGGATCCCTAAACCCGGCTTACGGGATCCCCAAGCCCATCTCGGGGGGGGTCCCAAAAGGGTCCCTAAGCCCAGCTTTGAGGGCCCGCAAGTCCAACTCAGGAGGATCTCAGGCCTGTGCCCTCTCCAGTGTCTTCTCTCACCCTCTCACCTGCCTGGGTTCCAGGTGTGGCCATGGAGGGGTTGCAAGGGAGGGGCCACGACCCCAACTTTTCCCGGCGGATCCCGGAGGAGCCTCCAGGGGAGGAGGAAGAATCAGGGGAGGAAGAATTTGGTGAAGAACGAGGGGAGGAGGAAGAAACTGGTGAAGAACCAGGTGAGGAAGAACTTGGTGAAGAACCAGGAGAGGAGGAAGAACCAGGAGAGGAAGAACCTGATGATGAACCAGGAGAGGAGGAACCAGGTGAGGAAGAACTTGAAGAACCAGGTGATGAAGAACATGGTGAGGAAGAGCTTGATGAGGTCCCAGGTGAGGAAGAAGAACCAGGTGACGAAGATCAGGAGGCCACTCAGGTGGCACCAGGAAGAGCCTCTTGCGCCCAGGTGAGGCCTCCAGGTGAGGCCTCAGCCCCTCCACTGCGCCAGCAGAAGCCCCGCCTGTACCTGAACCCCCGGCAGCCCCGCCCTGGCCAAGATCACCTGGAGAGCCCCGAAGAACCTGGACCTTCCCATGGGAACCACTTGCAGATGCTGTGGGGTCGCCCGGGTGAGCTGGGCCACCAGGTGAGCCCAGGTGAGCTGAGCCCTGACGAACTGGGCCCAAATGAGCTGGGCCACGCAGGTGAGCTGAGCCCGGACGAGCTGATCCCAGGCGAGCTGGGCCCAGGCGAGCTGAGCCCCGGTGAGCCCAGCCAGGCCTTCGTGCAGCTCATCGATGAGCGTGGCGTCTACTCCACAGCCAAGCTGGTGCTGGGCGGCCGCGGTGGCGCCGGTGCCGTAACCCCCACGGGCGAGGTGGAGCGGGCGGAGCAGCCGGGCGAGGCACTGGCGCCACTGGAGATCCGACGGGTGATTGTGGCCGAGAAGCCCTTCCAGTGCCCCGTGTGCCACAAGGGCTTCAAGCGGGCGTGGGAGCTGCTGAGCCACGAGGTCGTGCACACCGAGGCGCGGCCCTTCACCTGCCAGGCCTGCGGGGCCACCTTCAAGCGCCACTCGGACTTCAAGAGCCACGGGCTGGTACACACGGAGGAGCGGCCGCACCGCTGCGACCTGTGCGGCAAGCGCTTCAAGCGCTCCTCCAACCTGCAGGAGCACCGGCGCATCCACAGCGGGGAGCGCCCATTTGCCTGTCCGCGCTGCCCCAAGGGCTTCAAGACGCCCTACGAGCGCCAGCGGCATGCCCTGACCCACCTGGGCGCCGAGCGGCCCTTCCGCTGCGGCGACTGCGGCAAGGAGCTGGCAACGGGCGCGGCGCTGCAGCTGCACCGGCGGCAGCACTGCGAGGACAAGCCACACGCCTGCGGCGTCTGCGGCAAGAGGTTCACTTACGGGCACTCGCTGAAGGTGCACGAGCGGGTGCACACCGGCGACCGGCCCTTCACCTGCGGCCTCTGCGGGAAGGGCTTCAAGCAGAGCAACGCGCTGGCGTCGCACGAGCGGGTGCACACGGGCGAGCGGCCCTTTGCCTGCCGCACCTGCGGCAAGGCCTTCAAGCAGTCGTCCTACCTGGCCATCCACCAGCGGGCGCACACGGGCGAGCGGCCCTACGGCTGCGAGGCCTGCGGCAAGGCCTTCGCCCGGCCCTCGCTACTGCTGCAGCACCGGCGCGTGCACAGCCAGGCCAGGCCCTACGAGTGCAGCTTCTGCCACAAGTTCTTCAAGGACCTAGCGTACCTGGGCGTGCATGAGAAGGTGCACACGGGAGAGACGCCCTACAAGTGCGGGGTGTGTGCCAAGGGCTTCGCCCACCCCTCCAACCTGCTGCAGCACCAGCGTGTGCACAGGGACACCTGAGAGGGCAGAGCTGCCAGGATGGGTGTGGGCCCCAAAAACCTGCTATGGACCCCAAAAAAGCTGATGGACCTGTGTTAAGGACACCTGAGGTATAGGTGAGGGGAGCTGGGACAGGTGTGTGCCCCGAGAACCTGATGTGGACCCCAAAACCCCTCAGCAGCAACACCTGAACCAGGATACCTGAGCCCCAGGTGAATGGACCTCATAGAAATGCTCCAGGACAGGTGTGCACGCCAAGAACCTTCTGTGGACCCCAAAAAGCTGCAGCAGCAACACCTGAACTGTGACACCTGAGCTCCAGGTGAGGGCATCCTGGACCTGCACACCTGGACAGGTGTGGTCCCCAAAACCTGCAGCACCTGAACCACACCACCTGAGCCGTGACGTCACCGACACTGGACACGACCCCGGACCTGTGGGACCCACGACACACCTGAGGCCAGGCGTGCACACCTGGATTTTTGGGGTGGAACAGCCACAGCTGGTGCCCCGGGTGCACTTGGGACTGGGCACATGCTTACCTGGATTCTTCTTCCCAGATTCCTGGATTTATCCCCCTTTGGATGGGACAACTCACCTGTGGGCACCTGGACTCCCCTCTGGACCCCTGAGTCTCACCTGTGCTCCCCTGTAGGAACTTGGGGCTCACCTGTGCACACCTGGGACTCACCTGTCTCACCTGGGTGGTACCTGTAGCACTGGGGGTGGAGTCTGGGTGCACCTGGGCTGGGCATATATTAATTAAATGATGGGTAATTAATGACATCATTGATGGTCTCACCTGATTTCGCACTAGAAGTGAGGACCCCCCCAAAA